CAGCTGCTCAAGGTCTTAGGGCACTAGTAAGTCAAAAAATCCTTAATTGAAATTAGAGGGAGTAAAGAGGAAACTGAGGCTTTCAGCAAACTCTGTAATGCTACAACCTCAGGTGCTTTACAGGATTAGGCCACTTCCCATACTAAGAATCTGTCCAGTTGTAACAAATCTAGACCTAGTGACAAGTAAGAACTCCTAAAACAAAGCAAGGAAACGTTCATTCTTTAGTTGCCCTGCTTGTGCATTTAAGACAATACAATGCACAGAAAGTTACGTATACATAACACTACAAGGAAGCATTAAATTAGAAATGCATTATTTTTTTGCAAGTCCAATTGGTACGAAAGTCAACATGCAAATAAATCTCAATACAGAGAGAAACCAGAAGGATTAGGGGGAGAGGAAAGAAAAGAACTCGACAGGATGGGGGGGCCCTAGGGAGTATCACCCCAGAGAACAGGAAACATACAGAAGATGCTGATCGGCCAGGCCCCCGCTGTGCTACAATGGCACCAGAGACCGCTTTAATCCAACTGTGCATCTCCTCAGGACTATCAGCCTAAGGGAGAGAAAGGACTCATTCAGTCAGTTTGTCCTCAAAATCAGCTCCTATGTCTACAGATTCAGTGTATTCATTTTGGTAAATTACAGGGTCAACAACAAAATCATTCCAAGGCAATGGTTTCCAGAAAATTTTAGAAATCACTTTTTTAAAGCCAGGTTTTGCAGGTAAGTTATTACAGAGACAAAAGTTGGAGACCTGATAATTTAAGACCAGACACACCAAAAAGTGTCAATATCAATACTTATGGAGAGAAAATGAGAGGGAGAAGTCAAAGTCAAACCTCACTTTGCTCTATCTACTGCTATATTGTCTGAATCTATTACAAGAGTATTTATGTAATTGTGTAGTTAAAAAACATTTTGACATCATTTTATATATTATTTTTCTAGAAATCTTTTCTAGTACCAACTAAATACGGAAAGAAATACTGGTAGTCATATTCCAAAGTATCATTATTCCTTGATAGGACCTTGCCTTCCAATGTGAATTTAAAACTTTACTATGACTTTAAATCCAATTAAACAGGACCTAAGAGGGGTGTAGAGATAGTGCCCCTTACTTGTGTTCAAAGATTTTAAGTTACGTCATGTTCTTTCGAACCAATGATTATAACAAGGACTTTTAAAGGAAAAACTCAAAGCAGGCAAAGGTAAAGCACAAATCTAGAAATAAATTTGGCAAAAAAGGGGGTTTAAAAAGGTTTATGCTCTGATAGTTATTCCTGATCTAGAAACTTAACCTAAAGAAGAAATCCAGGCAAACTTAAGCACAAAAATATTCACCACATTGTTTATCATAGTAAATGTACAAAAACTATGTGAATGATCAGTTACAGAGGAGCAGAGAAACAGTTTAACTGCGGAGCATTCATACAATAGAGTATGGTGCAGTTGTAAAAGTTTTTACAGAATTTTTAATGATGTGGGAAAAAAAGACTATAATATATTCAACAGAATATATCACTGTGTACTTCATATGACCCCACTTGTTATAAAAATATATGCCTTTAAAAAGGCACTAAAATAAGAATGGTTTCCTGAATGTGGGATTTAGTATGTTTTATACCCTTTTCTTCCTATTTTTCTATATTTTCCAAATTTTATGCAATAATCATATGCAACTTTCATAAAACAAAAACGTTCTTAAAAAAAAAACCTTTCACTCTAATTTGCTGTGTAAGTAAAAAGTGTATTTTAAACTTAAATACATGATGCCTATCTACCACCAGTGTGATCTACTGTCTATTTTTATTATGGGTATTTTAGACCCCGTTTCTAAAATTACCAAAAATGATACAATCAAAATTCTAAAATATGTGCAAAAATAATCCAAATTGAAAGTTAGCATCTAAGTTAAAACAGCATTTCCCTTCCCACAAATTACTACTTAATTCTATTCTGCCAATTCAGAACAAGGAGTACCCCTATTTGCTGAACATATGACCTACCAATAATTTTATATATAACATTTTTTAAAGTTGCGAATTACAGTTGTCATGTTTTTCTTTTCTTATTCACATAAGCAACAAGTTTATATTTATTTCACCTCTAAAATTATTAATCTCTTGGTAGGAGGATCTATAATCTCCAAAGAAGTATCTCACCTGCACATAGAAAGTTCGAGACGATGTTACAATTTCAAAGAGATTGTCCCTCATCATTATGTCACTGTCAACAAAAACAAACGTCCAATTGCACGTAAGTAGCAGTTGTTGGATAGTGTTTCTTTCACTTGTTTATCTAACACCAAATATATGTCAACAAGAAAATAAATAGAGATAAAATACTGGTGTAATCTAGCAAAACCAAATTAGCATATTTTTCAATTTATTCTTGTACTAAATTTTATATATTTCATATAGTTATATACATTTTAAAAAAGATTCATAAAAAGTTTAAAATTCAAAGTTTTCAACTGCTAATAAATCAGTCTGCTCAAAGAAACACTGGCACAGTTAACACATTTTCTTATGAAGCCCTATTCTGTAGCAACTTCCAAATACTAAAATTAATAATACATCAATCTGTCAATATGATAGAAGTTAATATTAAAATTTTTCCTTCCCATTAATAAGCTTAGGGATTGCTTCTTAAACTTTTAGTTTTCAAATGAAACAAAAAATATCTCAATACTTTAATCTGAGGATTTTGTAAGTTTGAGCATATCCCAACTATGAAGAGTTAAAAATAACACTAGAAATAACACAGAAAAATATCATCTGTACACATCAATCAAACTAAGGCACTTCTGAGTATCACTGAGTTGTGCCAGGCACTAAGAGAGCTGGTGCTTACCTCTGCTTACATTCCTGGACTTTATGAACCTCTTTAAGTGGTATTACACGGAGGGGTTCTTTTTCCTGGCAAAAAAGCAACAGATACATGAGGTATATTCTTAAAATCCTTTTTAAGATTTAGTTGTCTTACTTGGAGATCTGTATGAAAACTGTGCTTCTCTCTTGAAGCACATCTAAAACCTAAATCTACCTTCCTGAACCATCCAACATCAGAATAGCTCAGATACTAGACCAGAGTAGCAAATACTCAGCTTCTTTGAATTACATTTCTCATTTAAAGAATATCACTTTTATATGAATACATTATTTTAACAAGCACAGTTTATTGAACATTTACTAAGTGCCAGGGCATCTTGCTAGTTTTTAAACATATTACTTCATGTAAACTTTCCACAACCCCACAATGTATGCACTACTATTCACCTGAGGAAACTAAGCCTCACACATTAAGTACCTCATTTAAAATTACAAACTAGATACAAGACACAACTAGTTCCTAATATCATATTTATACTATGCATTCCATGAGATACTATATGCCGTATTTCACTGAATATCACACCATAAGATTAAGACATACCATTATTTGATGCAGCACTAAGAAAAAACTAAACCATGCCAGACACTTTAAAAAAAAAATCACAGATCTTTAAGTTTTACAAAATAGTTCATTCTAAAATAATTTTAGGGTGCCTGGGTGGCTCAGTCATTAGCGTCTGCCTTCGGCTCAGGTCATGATTTCCTCTAAAGGGGGGCGGGAGGAGATTGTAAGAAGAATTAAGTCTGTAAAAGGGTCCTGGGATCGAGCCCCGCATCGGGCTCCCTGCTCAGTGGGAAGCCTGCTTCTCCCTCTCCCACTCCCCCTGCTTGTGTTCCTGCTCTCACTCTCTGTCAAATAAATAAATAAAATCTTAGAAAAAAAATTAAAATAATTTTAGACTATAAGAGGCTTACAAAAATAGTATAAAGAATTTCTGTATACATTGTACCCTGTTTTCCAAGATGTTAAAATTTTACGTTTGCTACACCATTCTGTTTGTGTTCATATATGCGACAATGGTGTGTGTGTATATACCTTTCCTGAAATGTCCGAAGGCAAGTCATAGACAGGATGCACTTTACTACTAAATACTTTAGTGCGTACTTCCTAAAACAAGAGCGTTCTCTTATATAACCCCGGTACAATTACGAGAACCAGAAACTCCATGCTGCTGCAATACTGTTATCTAATCTACAGACCATCTTCAGAGCTCATTAACTGCCCAGCAGTATCCTTGACAGAAACAGGAAAACTATGGCTTTTCTGCTCCAGGGTTCAATTTGAATCAGACCTTGTACTTAGCGGTCATGTCTCTTCGTGTCCTTGATCGTGGAAGAGTTCTGCTGTCTTTTTTTCTCTTTCACAACCTTTAGAGTTTTCCAGAGTCCAGGCCAGTTATTTTGTATGTCACTTGATTTGGGCTTGTCTGACGTTAACCATGCTTGGATTCAAGCTGTACAGTTTTGGTGGGAAACCACAGATAAGCTTATTCTTCTCATCCCATCATTCTCAGGTAGTTCATGAGAGTGGTGTGTCCCATTATGAGGCCGTTAACCCTCGTGTCTTACTGTCATGTTCACCAGTAACTAGAAAGTTACCCTCTTCTCCTTTGTCGTTATTATCTTGTGGGAAGATACTTGGAGCCTATGGAATACCCAGTTTCCCTTCATTGTTTTGCCCATTAGTTTTATCAAACTTGGAGGATTCTTGCCTGAAACCACTACTGTAGTAGCTGCCGAATGATGATTTTATTTTCCCTAACCCCATCAATTCATCTACATATATTAGCTGGAATTTTGCTCTAAGGAAATGCTTTTCCTTCCATTTACTTCTTTGATTCTCTGGGTTGTAATCCATTACTATCATTGTTTAGTTAGGTGCTCAAACTGTATGAGTTTTGGGCACTGGGAGCCCCTGCAAGCTGGGTATGCGTCCTTTTGTCATGTCCCCATCATTCTCTGAGCCATTTCCTTATTTTGTGTCACAACTAGCTCTTCCGGGCTCAGCTCGTCCTATCCCTGCCCCACCTCTGGAATGTGCCATCTCTCCAAGGTTCCACATTCCTTTTGTTAGAGAATAGCATTTATACTTGTTTTGAGGGGAGAGGACAGCCCATCTCTTCACTCAACCATGGCTTTCTCATGATAGATGAGAAGTAGTACTTCTGTGAGGTTTTAACTTGTGCTTCTCTAATTACAAGTGATGCTGAATATCTTATATATGTTTAAAGGCCATTTAAATTTCTTTGTAAATGAACTGTCTATTCATGTCTTTTACTCCTTTTTCTACCAGATATTTTCCCCATTGGTTTTCTCTCTCTGTAAACTTTGAGCCAACCACAAACTTAGACAAAGGCTGAAAACACAGCACAAAGGCCTGACTTTCCCAAACCATTTCAGAGTGAGTAGCTGACCTGGCCCCCACTGCCCTTCAATTTAGAGAGTATTTCCCACAAAGACATCCTCTTATCACAAGACGACCATTGAAATCAGGGGAGTGTCCCCCAAATGTCCTTTACTAAAACAAAAGAATTCAGCTCAGAATCACAGACTGCATTTAACTCATCATATCTTTCTGGACTCCCACAGACTTGACTCTACTGAAGGCTCCAGGGCAGTTACTCTGGAGAACCTCCCTGATGTGGGTATGTCTGATCCTCCCTGAAGATTAGATTCAGGTTAGGCATCTTTGGCAGGAACATCACAGAAATGGGGCAACAACTTTCTCAAGCTACCCTGTCAGGTGGTAAATAATTTCAATTCATCTCACCACTGCTAAAGTCCACTCCAATCATCTGATCACCTGATTAGAGTGGTGTCTGACAGCAGTAATTCTATCACTGTAAAGCTGCTATTTCCCTTTTTGTACTTAAGGTGTATTTTGTAGATAGGGACTCTGAAGCTTTGTGATCTCTGGTTCCTCATCATCCATACGTATGTACACTTATGCATTCACTCATTTATATCTATGTGGGTTCATGGATTCCTACTTTATTCAAAGGGCAATAATCTGTTACCATCATTACTTTTTTTGATACTCAAAATGCCCCCAATATGGTAAGGTGGAATGTTTTCAAGTTGGATTCTGGGTCCTTCTGACATGTCCCTAGCATTCTATGAGCACTTGTTTTCAAGACATCCCAGGCTTAGGTTCTGATCATTTCTCCTGTCTCAAGCTTTGGAATCTTGCCATTTCTCCACGAGCCTAGGTTTCTTTCAGTGGAAAATGGTGGGTTTTTTTTTTTCAGTTGCACAGAGGTACAAAGTATATTAGATGCATATATATGTAAGCACATGAATACATTTTTAATTCTACATCTATCTGTATATGTTAAATGTTCACATCAATTCCAATCTAATATAAAAGTTTTCCCCTTTTCCATATTTATTATTCCCTTTTTTGACAGAAACTTGGCTTTTAATAGATTTCCTTATTTTATTAATAAGTACATATGTCAACATTCTCCCATCTCTGCCACCACCCTCTTCCCAGTGTGGATGTGCTCTTCTCCCTCTTCCATGTTGGGCTAACCCCCCAAGAGGATGGCCTCCTCATCCTTCTTGGGCTCTGACTGCCCACACCAGGCTACTGGGGCTCCTTCTGCCCCTGGCCCACCACATGAACACCTACATGGATCTGCCTCAGCTAGAAACTGTAGGTCTGAACTGTTTGGGACTGATGGGAGGAAAAGAGGGCAGAGAGTAAGGAAGGACCCGCTCAATTTTTAAGATTCTTTAGGGATATTAATGTTTTCTCTCTGATATATATTACAAATATTTTCTCCAGTTTTTCAGTTGTGCACTTAAATCCTTCACACCTACTAAAAAAGTTTTAACGCCTCATCTTTTAAAAATACATACTAAAATAATTACAGAGAAAATAGTATGTCTAGGATTTACTTCAAAATATGAAGGGAGAGTGGGTGGTGGTATCTAAGAAACAAAACTAGCCATGTGTTGATAATTATAAAATCTGTGTGAAGAATAGATAGGGGTTCAGAACACTATTTTTTGTTTAAACTTTTAGATGGTCAAAAGGTTTTATAAAGAGCCCCTATACACGCTAAGCATCAATTTTTATCATCTATCATTCTTGAGCCTATGTAGGTAAGTAAGCAAAATTAACTGGCTAAGATTTTTTAAAACTTCACATTCAGATTTCAGCTCTTCTGAATCAGTTTTTGACTCAGAGCCATCAATGTCTACGTTTCTCACTCCATACCATTCTCTGTGTCTTTAAGAGCACTGGGGATGCAGCATTTCTTAAGAACGCCCCACTGTATCCCTGAGATTTTCTTCAGAGCTGCCAGCACCCTCTCTGCAGGATCTGGTGCTGGTGTTTTGCAGACCTTACCCAAGGGGCTGTGCGCACGCGAGCAATGCCAACTGCCGCACAGCTGCTGCCCGACCACCCCCTCCCCGCAGCAACTCGAACACACCCCGAGATTTCAGAAACCTTAAATGTGGGGGAAATGCACACCTTAGTTACTGATTAAGGTAAATAATTATAAATATATTTACAGATTCCAGCCTTATCTGTGTTCATTATAAATGCTTAACACATTCCTGCGTATGCATGGCATCACTTCCCTCCCTCATCTGTTCAGTATTCTTTCATCTCAAATTTTATAGCATCATGGCTACATGCAGGTTTTCAAAATTTAGTAAATGTTTCCATAATAGTTCTTGTCTCGTTACCTCTTCCCAAGAGTACTGCCATTAATTAAAAACAATGAATCAACCTACTAACCACGTGTAGCCTTCTGAGACAAGTAACTACAATTTCCAGTTGAGGCTCTTACAATCTGATGTCTGAGCAAGGCTAAATACCCATGTTAAAATGGCTAGTCTTGCTATGCTAGGCCAATTTTCATTCATTCAAAAACACTTATTAATTATCTACCAAGTACCAGGTGCTGTGTTCATAAAAAGGGTATAAAAGAGATCTTTGCTCTCAAAAAGCTCACATAAGTAACTGGTAAAGACAAGTATGCATATAATTACAAAACACGGCAGGAGGTATTATGATAGACATGGGCATTGGGCACCTCGGTAAGGAGAAGGCACTTAATCTAGAGTCTGGAAAGCTTCCCAGAAGAACAGACACCTAAGATGAACCTCAAAATATTCCTTTCCTAGGGGAACCCTCCTACACTGTTGGTGGGAATGCAAGCTGGTGCAACCACTCTGGAAAACAGTATGGAGGTTCCCCAAACAGTTGAAATTAGAGCTACCGTTCGATCCAGCAATTGCACTACTGGGTATTTACCACAAAGATACAAATGTAGGGACCCGAAGGGGTACGTGTACCCCAATGTTTATAGCAGCAATGTCCACAATAGCCAAACTGTGGAAAGAGCCAAGATGCCCATCGACAGATGAATGGATAAAGAAGATGTGGTATATATACACAATGGAATATTATGCAGCCATCAAAAGGAATGAGATCTTGCCATTTGCAACAACGTGGATGGAACTGGAGGGTGTTATGCTGAGTGAAATAAGTCCATCAGAGAAAGACATGTATCACATGACCTCACTGATATGAGGAATTCTTAATCTCAGGAAACAAACTGAGTGTTACTGGAGTGGTTGGGGGTGGGAGGGATGGGGTGGCTGGGTGATAGACATTGGGGAGGGTATGTGCTACGGTGAGCGCTGTGAATTGTGCAAGACTGTTGAATCACAGATCTGTACTTCTGAAACAAATAACGCAACATATTTTAAGAAAAAAGAAAAAGAAGAAGATAACAGGAGAGGAAGAAAAGGGGAGTATGTCAGAGGGGGAGACGAACCATGAGAGATGATGGACTCTGAAAAACAAACTGAGGGTTCTAGAGGGGAGGGGGGTAGGGGGATTGGTTAGCCTGGTGATGGGTATTGAGGAGGGCACGTTCTGCATGGAGCACTGGGTGTTATGAACAAACAATGAATCATGGAACACTGCATCAAAAACTAATGATGTAATATATGGTGATTAACATAACAATAAAAAATTAAAAAAATATATTCCTTTCTATTTTCTCTAGTACTCTCCTGTCCAATACAGTACCACTAGCTATGTGTATTTAAATTAAAAACATATTAAAAACAACCAGTATTAATTTTAGAATTAAATAAAGTCAGGCTCCTCTGTCACGGTAGTCGTCTTTTAAGCATTTATCAGCCACATGTAGCCAGTAAACCTGGCCAATGTGGATACAGACCATTTCCATCAGTGTAGAAAGTTCTACCGGATAGTGCTGTTTTAGTGCCTTCATTCAAATAAAGTATATGATCCCCATTCAAAGGTCCCATAAAACAGGAAGAGCCAGGATAGAAATGTAAGGTTTAAAAAAGCATCCAAATTATCGAACAATCTGTTGCAGAACTCAGGCGTGAGAAGAATATTTTAAATAAGGATGTTATTCAAACAAGTAAAAGAGAGAATCTCAATCTTTGGTTCTACCTTCAGATAGGATAAAAAGGTCTTATATGAGGAAACTTAAAAAGTCAATCTGAAACAGGAAAAAAAATATCAAGAGCGAGCAGAGAAAAAAAAGTAGAAATACAGAGTTAAAATGTTGACTTTTACAGACTTAACTCTTCTTACAATCTCCTCCCGCCCCCCTTTAGAGGAAATCTGTAGACTAAGGAGTTCCAATATTTTTAATTCTTTCAAGGTGAAATGGCTCTGAAGATACGATCTTTTTATTTAAGATGTATTTACAAAATTACCATTAAAACATCACAACCAAATAAACTGAACTGTATGTACCTCTCAAAACCAGAATTATTTTAAAAATAGAAAACAGGACAAGAAACTACACACACACACACACACACACACACTCTCTTAAAATCACCACAGTGTTAACACTCTTCTCAAACATTTTAAGGCAACATTTATGACAGAGCAACATACCAGTTCAGATTTGAAGTAGCCAATTGTGTTTTCATCCAATTGAAAATATCTTCTCTTCCAGTTTTTCATCTACCAGAGAAGAACACAGACATAAGACTTCTGTTTCTAAGAATGTCAAATGCTAACAACCGCTTAATTATTCTGATATGAGCCCACAATCAGAAATGTCAAGCACTGAAAAACCTTACTACCCTCCCTTGATGAGGAGATACATGAAACTTCATCTCTTTTGCTACTCAGGCCTTGAACTCCTAAGTCAACTTTGGTGGCTGGCTTTCAGCTTGTATCCTGTAATTTATAATATGGTTTCATATTTTTAATACTCTAAAAGTAAAAAAAAAAAAAAGAAGCAGTTCCCCATCCCCAACACCACAAAGTAAATGCCATCAAGAGTTCAAGAGCAAGCACAGGAAATGTTATTAAACCACATTAAGTTCTGTAAGATCTGTAAAACGAAAGAATCTTTCTTCAGGTACTTTATACTTGGTAGTAAAGCGTCAAATATTTAGTAAGGTGAACCTACTTTGTACAAATACTTTTTGTCCCTGAAATAGTTTTCGTGAAAGCACTCCAGTATCTCTAAGGTTGTTATTTGGACTTGGGAGTAAAACAAAAAGAAAGAAATGTCTCCCTAAAAGCCCTAATTAACACAAGTGAGTCACTGCCTGATGAGACTTCTGACTTTACCCGTAGGCCTGCTACCATGAGACTCTCAGCCTTCCCCTTCATTTCCCTCAGCTTAAAGGTTAAAAGGCAAGAACTTTTCCATGGCTGACCTAAGCTAATGAGTTGCCAGAAAGCGATG